CTCCTGCATTGGTAGGACGATTCTCTACCCAGACACAAAAACAGTAGGACATAATTCTTTTTTCAATTTTCAACTTCACGAATGCCGGGGGCGGGGGTGGGGGGCAGCATTTTCCGTAAACAGTCAAATGGCAAATGTTTTAAGCTTTACAGGTCACACAGTCCCTGTTGGAATTACTCAGCTCTTTCACTGCAGCTTGAAAGCAGCCACAGACAATGTGTGAGTGATCAAAGTCCTTTATTGCGTTCTCACGAAACTGTATTTACAGAGAAAGGCAACAGGCTGGATTTCACCTGAGGGCCCCAGTTGGCTGGCCCCTGAGATAAGCCAAAACCTGTGCATTTTTGAACACAGTTTAAAACTTTTTGACTTTTTCTAGTGGGCAATTTCAATCACATAAAAAAAGTTGAAATATCAGTATAATGACTTAGTATCCATCACTTAGCTTAATCAGGTATCAACTTAGGATGAATCTTGTTTCATCTGACTCCTTACCCACTTCCTTTTATCTGAACTATTTTGGGGATTTTGTTTTTGTTCTGTCCCCACTGCATAGCTGGCAGGATCTTAGTTCCCTGATCGGGGACTGAACCCACGCCTCCTACAGTGGGAGTGCCGGGTCTTGACCGTTGTACCGCCAGGGAATTCCTTCTCTGAATTATTTCAGAGCATATCCTAATGTCTTATTCAGAAATATTTATATTCCTTTCATCCATGAATATTTCAATATCTCTTAAAACATACCCATAGCATTATCACACTTAAAAAATTAGCTATCTATATTTTTTAATGTTTGTGATTGAATTAGGAGCCAAACAAGATCCATCTTTAATCAATTTTGTCTCTTAAGTCCCTTTTATTCTATTGGGTTTCCCATCTATCTTTACTTCCCCTCCACCTTTACTTCCTCTCCTTCAATATATTTGCTGAAAAAACTGGATTATTTGACCTATAGATATTCTCACAGTCTGGATTTTCATTATCGACTCCTAATCATGTCATTTAGCACATTCCTCTGTGGCTCAGATGGTAAAGAATCCACCTGCAATGCAGGAGACCCGGGTTCGATCCCTGGGTGGGGAAGACCTCCTGGAGAAGGAAATGACAACTCACTCCAATATTCTTGCCTGGAGAATTCCATGGATGGAGGAGCCTGGCGGGCTACAGTCCATGGGGTTGCAAGAGAGTTGGACATGACTGAACGACTAAAGAATGATAACAAACCAGCTGCATCACCGATGCTTGACACTTGCTTCCCGACATCCTGGGCTTGAAATAAAGACACAGCACTACTGTACTGTTTAGGTACCATACATAAAGTACAAAAGAGCACAGCCACTTATGGGATGCACACACGTGACCACGTGCACCAGATTTGTGAACTTACGTGACTGGGCATGAGAGCACATGTTCGCATCTTTGAAAGTTCACAGCTTGGAGGTTCGTAAGTAGGAGGCTTACTGTACGTCCCGTATCCGTGTCATCTCGCTCTGGAAGAGAGGTCCTTTCCTACTTTACAGTTACTTCTACAGAGCGTTCATGAAATCAACGATCATTGCTGGTAACTTGGGGAAAGATGAAAGAGATGTTCACCTTCTGTCAGGGTTTTCACCACCTCTGTGGTCGGGAGATAGAGCCATCCTGAACTACCCTTTGGCTCCGTTCTGTCCCACAGAACCTTCCATGGTGATGGACATGTCCTGCTTCCTCTCTAATACAGTCGTTATTACCACAGCGGGCTTTTGAGCACTTGCGCTGTGGCCAGTGTGAGTGAGAGACTGATTTAACTTTAATAGAAGCATTTATACTTAAATAGCCTTACGTGTCTAGTGGCCACCATATTTATATTAATTATGACTAATTCTGTGATAGCACAGCCCTCATCCCTTCCCTGTGGAGCAGTGGCGTTCTGCCCGCGTCCCAGACTCTCAGTCTCCCTCACACTTCTTGCACCTTTTCAGATCTCTCCTTGACTCACCTGAGCAGGCTCTTTCTACCATGATGCCTTAGCACCTGAACAGCCAAGACTGTGGATCTCTGCTCAGATAAAATCCTCAGTCTCTGCACCGCAGACTTGCTGCCTCCAACCTAGGGTCGATAATAGTAACTATCTCATTGATTTACACTGGGAATTAAATAAGCTAATACATATAAAGTGGAAAGCACGCCCCAAACAGGCCTAGCATGTGCGTGTCAGTTGCTTCAGTCATGTCTGACTCCTTGCAACCCCATGGGCTGTAGCCTGCCAGGCTCCTCTGCCCATGGGTTTCCCAGGCAAGAATACTGGAGTGGGTTGCTATTTCTTCCTCCAGGGGATCTTCCCAACCCAGGGATCAAACACGCACGTGTCTTACAACTCCTGCACTGGCAGGCAGATTCTTTACCACTAGCGCCACCTGGGAAGCCCAGGCCTAGCATAGGACATCCCAAAGAAAGTCATTTTCATATCTGAAATGAATCCTGAGAGTAAATGCTTAGAAGTCAAGTTTTCACTTGTCGCATAATTGTAGGCTGCAGTAGCCATCTGGCCACATGTAGCTATCTAAATTTAAGTTAATTAAAACAAACGTTTAGTTCATCAGTTGTACTAGTCACATTTCAAGCGCTCAGTGGCCAGGTGTGCCTAGAGATTGCCACCCGTAGGAAAGTTTCATTGGACAGTGACAAAACTTTGGCACTCCACATCTAGGAACTCAGGAGAGAAGACTGGCCACAGTAGGTTAGAAAATCAATTCAATTAGGGAAGGCCAATCAGTAGTAGAGTGATCAATCTCTGTCATTCTTGCTACCAAATCTGTATTCCCTGAAGAACGTTTCATTCTCCCCTTTCACCACTTCCTCACCCATCTCGACAGTACTAATGAAATACATTTACTAAATATCAATAAAATACTGTTGACCTAATTTTCAATGTTATCAAGAACATGTTCTTCAGAATTTATTTTCTTCTAAGGCTTCACAGCAGAGGAGATTATGTCTTTCTTTTTATTGATACTCTGTCATATCTGGCAAAACACGGGGCATAATCCTATTCATTTTCTGCAGTCATAACATGGCTAGTCACAATAGATAAGTTAATGAACGTTTTTTACTTTGTCCCATTTGCCATTGGTTGACAGAACCCAAATAGGGAGGCAAGGACCCATTGTGTGTGAGTGTGTGTGAGTGTGTGTGTGTATTTACCCAGTGTTCAGGTCCCTGTATATCTTCTGTCATTAACTGCAGTGGACTGCAGCTTGTCTGGGCAGCTAATGAACATTCTCCCCTTAAGCTGTTATTGTCTTGGGCATTTGTTCCCAAGGGAAGGGAAATGTTATCATTAGTATATGAAGGAAACTTTCGTCCCGGTTACAGAGGCTTATCCTAAGAGCACTCCGTATTGCTCTGAAAGCAGTTCTGAGTCTTGACTGCCAGAATACACTGGTCTCGATCTTGGTGGGAGCACAGAGACGTGTGCTTTGTAGAGAAAAGTTCACGTGGTCCCCCATCCTGAAGAGTGTTTAGTTATACTTGTTTTCATTAGGAAAATAAAAGTAAGTAAATAAATATTGTTATATACTATTAAATAATGAAAACAAAAGCAACTCATTACTGATCTTCACAACTAAAACTTAACCAAACACTGTGGGTGTTTTATGCACAAACGGAAAAGAATCCAGATTCAAACTTAGGTGGAGTCAGACTCTTGCTCTTCAGCAGGTTTGTGACCCTGGGCAAGCCACTTCTCAGAGCCATTGTTTGCAGACATCACTAAACCCTGAAGTCCAGGCATTTCTTCTCTCTTTGGGGTGAAGAATGTCTCAGGTCCGTTTCCCCAGAAAACAGGCTTTGAGATAGTTTCCCCACCACGAGTTTTACGGAAGAGTGTCCTTGAGACCCCCTGTGGGGACTAAGAAAAGCAGCGTGGGGCAGAGGGAGAGACTGGGTCATGAAGAACTCCTCAGCTGACGGGCCAGGAGCTGTGAAACTGGGCTAGCTCTGCAGAGCGGTCCCGCAGGGAGCCGGGGAGTCTGGCCTTGGGACTCCCAAATCGAACAGGACAGCCGTGAGGGCGGGCCTCTGCTTAATGGCGGTTCCCAGAGAAGGACGTGAGCTGCCAGGCTTCCCAGCCGCTGGGGACGTGGGCGCTCCGGGGGGGGGGGGGGGGGCCGTGGGCGCGCGGGGTGGGGTCGTGCGCGTGGGCGCTCGGGGGTGGCGGGCAGACGCGGGCGCGCCGGGGGGGGTCGTGCGCGTGGGCGCTCAGTGGGGGCGTGGGCTCGCAGGGGGGGAGACGCGGGCGCGCGGGGTGGGGTCGTGCGCGTGGGCGCTCGGGGGTGGCGGGCAGACGTGGGCGCGCGGGGTGGGCTCGTGCACGGGGTGGGCTCGTGCGCGTGGGCGCTCGGGGGGGGGCGTGGGCGCTCGGGGGGGGGGTCGTGCGCGTGGGCGCTCCGGGGGGGGCGTGGGCGCGCGGGGTGGGCTCGTGCGCGTGGGCGCTCGGGGGGGGGGGCGTGGGCGCTCGGGGGGGGGTCGTGCACGTGGGCGCTCCGGGGGGGGGCGTGGGCGCGCGGGGTGGGCTCGTGCGCGTGGGCGCGCGGGGTGGGGTCGTGCGCGTGGGCGCTCGGGGGTGGCGGGCAGACGCGGGCGCGCCGGGGGGGGTCGTGCGCGTGGGCGCTCGGGGGGGGGGGGGCGTGGGCGCGCGGGGGGGAGACGCGGGCGCGCGGGGCGGGAGCGGGAGCGTGCGGGGGGACCTAGGCCCGCGGGTCCTGGAGGAGACATCTGGGCGGCCTTCACTCTCCACAGGAAAGCCCTTCTCCTTTCCTGCTCCAGCGGTGGTCGTCACTCTAGTCAGCTGTGCAGGCTGCCCTGCGGTGACCCGGGCAAGGGCCATGGCAAGGGTCTGCAATGAACTGCTTGTGTGAGGAGAGGTTCCCTAGAGAAAGACCCTGATATGAAGATTTAAATGATTTGTTAGGAGCTATTCCCAGAGAGCAGGAAAGGAAGGCCAGCACGGTTAGCAAGCCATGTCCTGCCCCGCTCACTTTGGCTCAGTTCTGCAGGGGAGCTTGGCCGATAGTAGAGGTACTTCCTCAAAGCTGACCCCTCAGTGGGCAAGGAAGGAAGCTGTCATAGCTATACCCTCATACCCATCAGGGAAAACTTAAATTCTTAGGCATCCCAACTCCCCAAGTGCACGCAAATTGAATTCCAGTCACTGGGGCTTCCCTGATAGCTCAGTTGGTAAAGAATCCGCCTGCAATGCAGGAGACGCTGGTTCGATTCCTGGGCCAGGAAGATCCGCTGGAGAAGGGAAAGTCTACCCACTCCAGTATTCTGGCCTGGAGAATTCCAGGGACTGTAGAGTCCACGGGGTCGCCACGAGTCAAGACATGACTGAGCAACTTTCACTTTCACTGGGGCAATCTTTCAGCAAAGATAGTGTTGCTGGTTTTCCTGGGAACAAAAGCACGCAGGTAGCTCGTGTGCTTTAGCACGGTTAGTGGATGGACGAGGCTGTGCCGGAACTCAGAGCCGGAAGTCTGGGTCGGTCCGCCTTTAATAAGCTCACGGGGGCCTCACTCAGGCTGCAGCTGAACCTGACCGCTTCACTGCTTCATCACCGTCTATCCTTCCGTGTGGGAAGGGGGAGTAATCCAACTGACTAGTCACTCCTTTCTCAGCGTGATGACAAGTTCTCTTATAAGCAAATGCTTACAAAAGAAGACAGACATTCACCCTTTTCCTGAGGACAAGCAATGATTTTTTTTGGATCATGACAATCCTAAAGTATCGATAGATGAACAAAACGCAGCATCGTTGTCCTAACGAGAACCAATCCTAGCTTCATCCAACAGTTGTACAGATTCATCGTCTGAAACACGGCACTTTTAAAACCCACGGATGATGCTATTAGAGAACGTCTCCTAAATCCCATATGCTTGTTGGCCCAACGCTGGCAAAGTTTCTTTTCAGTTCATCTCGTAAGTGGATGCACTGTAAATGCATCTCCTCAATGCAATAACTTTATGAATTGCTACTCAGAGTAATTTTAACGAGCTTTTACAGTGATACCCAATATGAGTATTTGTGGAGTCATACTCCCAGTAATATTAATAGTAATTATTGCAGTGTTAAAAGTATTTATCTTCTTTTAAAATTTTTAGCTTGTTTCATCAGGTGACTCCTGTCAGCATCTAAGGCTCACGTGAAAGAGAATCATTTCAGGCTAACAGCTGGTAGTATTTTTTTGTTCGAAATTTTAAAATTGAGAGTGACCTTCATAATGGGAGAAACACCATTGAGGACCTGGGTTTTGGGCAGCCCCCTCTTTTATGGGCGACAATTTGAGGGTGCAACCCTCCTCTGATAACGGTGAACAAAACAAACGGAAGCCAGGTTTATCCCTCCCAAGTGCTGGTTCCCACACGCGGATATGAGGAGGGCGCTGTTAGGCAGACAAATAGCTTTATTAGACTGCTGTAAAGAGGCATTCTTCACCTTTTTCGAGGGTCTCCTATAACTTTATTGATCCTGTCTACAAGGATGATACTGAACACATTTCTTTACAAAGGCTAAGGAAAGGGTTTTGTTTTTTGTTTTTTTTTTCTTTAGGAAAGGGTTTATTCTCTTCTACCATATGACCATTTTGAAGAAAAAACTTAGGTTATGATACCAAGTAGCAATGTTGATGTTCCACTGAAAATGAAATGCTCTGTTGATTATTCTCTTCATCCTCATAATTTACTTGAAAAAAAAGTATGTGTATTAAGTGTGCAATGTTCTAAGTGTCTAGATAAGAGATCTACATACTTTTTAAAACATTTACTAAAAAATCATAGACCACTTAAAGGCAATTTATAAAGTATTTTGCAAAGAATGTTTTATGAGGCCATCGGGTTAGAAATTATTGATGAACAAACTGTGGGAAGCATAAGTATATTGACATTTGGTCAGGGACCTAGAGTTTAATAGTATTCAGGGATTTTTAAAGAAAGTCACACTCTAAATTAGAAAGTATATAGGATTACCTGTAATCTGTGGTGAATTCACTTTTTGCCTTATTTTGCTAACATTCTGTTATTGGAATATTTGCTTTGTTTTGAAATAGTTTATGACTGTTTATAAATTACTATGATGCACAAAAAGCCTCTAATCACTAAAATACTGCAGTGGGCTCAGCAATTTGACCCTGGTATAACTCAAATTTCTTATCTTCGGAAAGAAGAGACACAATGTCTTATCACCTGTGTTTTATCTGATTTTGATTGGGAATTCGAGCTATGTTTCTCATTCTGTTGAAGCATCCTGAAACCAGACAAAGGATCTCAAGGTAAAGAACAGGAAACGGGTATTGATTTCCTTTATCCACCGACTTTTGTGTCTTTTTGTTTTGTACTATGATGGATTAGGGGAACAGGCCAGCAAATGCTTCACATTTGCTACAGATTGGGTGGGCTTTGGGAAAAAAGGATTTGAGGCACGTGCTAGTAAAGAAAATAAACTCTAAAGCAGGTCTGGGTCAGTGTGATAAGTAGTGAGGTGTATGTTTCTATGCCAGGAGACTCCCAACTCCTAGCCTCTCAGCACCTTCAGCGTTCTCTCACTATGCACGCGTACACAGGGCAAACATGTACCCTACTGAGATAGACACTGATGCCTTCCTGAATCTACGGTTCCTTTTGGCCATTTTTGTCTTTCCTTCCACTGGAGGGACTACAGTTATCAAAATGCTGCTTTCTCACAAACATGCTTACCAAAGGGGAAAGGGCTGGGGAATAGATTGGGAGTTTGGAATTAACATATACGTACACTGTGTGTGTACTCAGTTGAGTCCAATTCCTTGTGACCCCAGGGTTCATCAGGCTCCTCTGACCATGGAATTTTCCAGGCAAGAATACTGGAGTGGGTTGCCGTTTCCTTCTCCAGGGGATCTTCGTGACGCAGGGTTCAAACCTGAGTCTCTTGTATCTCCTGCGTTGGCAGATGGATTCTTTACCACTGCGCCCCCTGGAAAGTCCTATATACACACTTGCTGATGTTGTTGTTCAGCCGTCCAGCCGTGTCTGACTCTTCGCGACCCCATGGACTGCAGCACGCCAGGCCTCCCTGTCCCTCACCATCTCCCGGAGTTTGCCCCAGTTCATGTTCATTGCATCGGTGATGCCGTCCAGCCATCTCACCCTCTGACGCCCCCTTCTCCTTCTGCCCTCAGTCTTCCCCAGCATCAGGGACTTTTCCAGTGAGTCGTCTGTTTGCATCAGATGACCAAACTCCTGGAGCCTCCACTTCAGTATCAGTAACACTGCACTGTATAGAAATAACCAACAAGGACCTACTGTATAGCACAGGGAACTCTACTCAATATGCAATATTCAATAACCTAAATGGGAAAAGAATTTGAAAAAGAATTGGCACATGTATATGTGTAGCTGAATCACTTTGCTGTGACCCTGAAACTAACACGGCGTTGTAAATCAACTCCAGTCTAATAGAAAATAAAAATTTTTTTAAAGCTTGCAGATCACTAAAAAAAAAAAAAAAAAAGACACTTTCTCATTCTCACCTGTAACAGGCCAGGTCAGTGTTTTTCAAAGTATCATCCTCAGAGAAAGTGTATCCAGCCATAAAAGGCAGATCCTACCTGGGTTGAAGCAGTCTTAAGGAGGAATGCAGGAATCTGCATTTCATCACAAGAGTCTTGTGCACATTTACATTTGAAAGCCACTGCTATGGTTTGTTACACAGGATATAAATGCTAAATTAACGACACTGAGGTACTGCCCTTCCCAGAGCTACTGGACACACTCTGAAAAGAAAATAATTACGTCGAGGTGGCAGGTCCTCTCCGGGACCTCTAAGCACCCCAGCCCCCACCTCCCTGCCCCTGTAAGGACTTCGCATTCTTCTTTCTCAGCAGTAAATTCTTTACAACATAATTAAGCAATCAATCATGTCTGAAAGTTTCCGGGCCCCTCACCCTATCCCACCCACCTTTCTGTTTCTCCCTGACCTTCTCCTTCTCATTCCCTTAAAGAGAGTAAGTTCAACAATCGGAAAAAGGAAAGACAAAATAATGCGCATAGAAATGTAGCCGTAGAATGAATGACTCTCCAACAGACACCAGCGGGGCAGCTATACAGCAGGCAGTCTCTTTTTTTTTTTTTTAATTTATTTTGAAGCCGAGCGACTTGCGTGCAGGCTAGTTCACTTCAGTTGTGTCCGACTTTTGGTGATCCTGTGGACTACAGCCCACGGGGTTCCTCTGTCTATGGGATTCTCCAAGAATACTGGAGTGGGTTGCCATTTCCTCCTCCAGGGGATCCTCCCAACCCAGGGATGGAGCCTGTGTCTCCTGCGTCTCCTGCATTACAGGCAGATTCTTTACCGCTGAGCCACCGGGGAAGCCCTTTTGACAATACACACCTGTACAAAATTCTCCACACTCAAGATACATAAGATGACCCCTCGCCCTCAAAATGTCCCTCCTGTCCCCTTTCCGTTAATTTTACCCTACTCCTGATCTTCCAGTCCCAGGCAACCACTGACCTGCTTTTGGCCACTACAGATAAATTTTGCCTGCTCTAGAGCTTCATAGAAATGGACTTATACCACGAATATTTTTTGTGTCTGGCCTTTTTTTCTCTAAATAGAATGCTTTTGATATATATTGATGTTATTGCATGTAAGGATATTGCCCTATTGAGGGACTTTTCTGCTGTTTTCCACTTTGGAAGTATGATGAAGAAAGTTGTTTTTACTGTGTACAATTCTTTCTTGGGCGTATATTTTAATTTGGGGAAGGGGCAGGTAAATACTTTGCTTGCTCCTTGGAAGGAAAGCTGTAACAAACCTAGACAACATATTAAAAAGCAGAGACATCACTTTGCTGACAAAGGTCCATCTAGTCAAAGCTGTGGTTTTTCCAGTAGTAATGTATGGATGTGAGAGTTGGACCATAAAGAAAGCTGAACGCCTAAGAATTGATGCTTTTGAACTGTGTTATTGGAGAAGACTCTTGAGAGTCCCTTAAACAGTAAGGAGATCCAACCAGTCCATCCTAAAGGAGATCAGTCCTGAATATTCATTGGAAGGACTGATGCTGAAGCTGAAGATTACTTTGGCCACCTGATGCTAAGAACTGACTCTGGGAACTGACCTGATCCTGGGAAGACTGAAGGCAAGAGGAGGAAAGGGCAGCAGAAGATGAGATGTTTTGATAGCATCACCAGTTCAATGGACATGAATCTGAGTAAGCTCCAGGAGACAGCGGGAGACAGTGAAGCCTGGCATGCTGCAGTCCATGAGGTTACAAAGAGTCAGACGCGACTTAGTGACTGAACAACACCAAATACTTTGGAATGGAACTACTGTGTTTAATTTTACAAGGAGCTGCTGAACGGCTGTCCTAAGTGGTGGTTTCATTGACATTCCCCCCAGCAATGAATGAGCGTCCCAGTTGTCCCACGTCCTCGTACACTCTCTTGCCAGTGTTTTCAGTTTTAGTCGTGTGGATAGGTGTGTAGCCATGTCTCATGGTGATCTGATTTTGCATTTCTCTCATGACTAATGATGATGAGCATTTTTTTGTGTGCTTTTTATTCCCATTCATATAGTTTCTTTTCTGAAGTATCTGCTAAAGTCTTTTGCACATTTTAAATAGGATATTTGTCTTCTTGGGCTTCCCTGGTAGCTCTGCTGGTAAAGAATTCACCTGCAATGCGGGAGACCCCAGTTGACTCCTGGGTTGGGAAGATCCCCTGGAGAAGGGATAGGCTACCCAGTCCAGGGTTCTTGGGATTCCCTCGTGGCTCAGTTGGTAAAGAATCCGCCTGCAATGTGGAAGACCTGGGTTTGGTCCTTGGGTTGGGAAGGGCATGGCAACCCACTCCAGTCTTCTTGCCTGAAGAATCTCCAAGGACAGAGGAGCCTGGTGGGCTACAGTCCATGGGGTCGCAAAGAGTCGGACATGACGGAGTGACTAACCATGCATTTGTCTTCTTAAACATATGCGTGTGTGTGCTTGCACACACACACACACACACACACACACACACACAATGCTCCTGATACTGAGCTTAAGGGGTCAATTTTGCTGGTAAGGATCAGACTGAGTGGTAAAGGCTGGAGCCTTTTTTGTGTATGGGACATGGACTTTTGTCCCATCGAAGCTGCAAAGTACTGGAACCTAGGATTAACCTTTCCCTTGCTTTCTTTTGGAACAGCACAGAGATTCGGTGGGTAGGCTGGAGTCCAGCCCACTTGGGCTCCAGCACTTACTAAATGTATGGCTTTGGACAAGGTGCCAAATTAAGCTGTGACTCAGTTTTCTCTGCTGTTAAATGGGGCAATGCTCACCTCATAGTGTGCTGTGATATTTAAATGAGATTATTTAGAGCCCTCTGAACTGTCCAAATACAGAGTGAACCCTCAGTAAATATTGGCTATCAGGGTGAAGAATGTGAGTAACATCATTAATGTACTCACCCAACCACATTCTTTCCAGAATCCTTATCTATACAGTCTATACATCTCTGTCCTCCAGACCTCACCTGTGTTTCTACAACTGTTTTCTAGACACGCAGTCTCTGGAGACATTTTCCTTTTGCCTGCAGGTGATTTTCATAAGTATCGGTAGAGAAGGAGGTAGATTGAAGGTAGGTTTTACCTGATTAGATTTTAAATTTTATATCAATTTATACCCATTTGCGCCTCGGAAGTCTAATTCTTTTTAGAATATTTCAACAAAGAGCTGAGATAACTGAAAGTTCAAGAGAGGGAAGAGAAACTAGACTTACCCCAGCAGGAGGCTGGCAGGAACATTTGACAATTAGATTCTTTTATTTCAGGGCAGAAAATTAGTTGCCTCCAAGACAAAGAGAGGAAGTGAAACTTTAACAGCTTTTGGCTTTGAACTTCAGGAAGCCCTAAGCATTCCTGATGACATAGAGTAAATGGGGGGAAAAAAGAAAGAATTCTGATGTATTAGATCAATAGAATAAAAGACAAAAACCATATGATCATTTCAATAGACACAGAAAAAGCATTTGAAAAAAATCCAACATTCCTTCATAACAGAAACTCTGAAACTATGAATAGGACTTCCTCAGCCTGATAAAGGACATTATAAAAACCCCACAGCTAACATCACACTTAATGCTAAAATACTGAATGCTTTCCTTCTCTGATCACAAACAAGGCAAGGATGTCTGCTTTTGCCAATGCTATTTAACCTTACACTGGCTTCTATAGTGCAATAAAAATTTTCTTTTTAAGTTAGGGACATCCAGATTGGGAAAAAAAAGAAGTAAAATTATCTTCATTTGCAGATGGCATGATCCTGCATGAAAATACAGAACAATCCCCTCAAATTTTACCGGAACTCCTAAAGAACTTTAATAAGATTACAAGAGCAATGAACAAAAATTAATATCTCTACATGCCAGCAATGAAAAATCAGAAATTGAAATTAAGAAAATGATTCCTTCACAATAAAAGCAAAGACAGCAAAATATTTAGGAACAAATCTAACAGAAGAAATGCAAGCCTTGAACCCTGAAAGCGATAAAACATCATTGAAAGAAATTAAAGATCTAAGTAAATAGAGGGCTCCCCTGGTGGGGGTAAGCTCAGACAGTCAAGAATCTGCCTGCAATGCAGGAGACTTGAGTTCAATCCCTGGGTCGGGAAGATCCTCTGGAGAAGGAAATGGCAACCTACTCCAGTGTTCTTGCCTGGAGAATTCCATGGACAGAGGAGCCTGGAGGTCTCTAGTCCGGGGGTCACAAAGAATCAGACACAACTTTTTGACCAATAGTTTCACAAGTAAATGAAAGGGCGTTTCACGTTCATGGATTGGAAAGCTAAACACTGTCTGGTCAAGACGGCCATTCTCCTCTTGCTGGACTGTAACTTCAGCACGCTGCTGCTGCTGCGAAGTCGCTCAGTCGTGTCCGACTCTGGGCGACCCCATAGACGCAGCCCACCAGGCTCCCCCGTCCCTGGGATTCTCCAGGCAAGAGCACTGGGGTGGGCTGCCATTGCCTTCTCCAACTTTAGCATAACCCTGTCAAAATCCTGCCAGAGAGGACTGCCTGTGAGCTTGGACAAGGGTGCGGATGGAAGTCCACCAGCTGCTCTTTTCTCTTTCCATGTACGGGGTAGGAGGCGCTGTGTGTGTGTGTCTGTGTCTCTGTGTATATCTGAGTGTGAGTGTGTGTGTGTCTGCCTGTGTGTGAGTCTGTCTGTGGTGTCTGTGTGTGTGTCTGTGTGTGTGTCTGCCTGTGTGTGAGTCTGTCTGTGGTGTCTGTGTGTGTGTGTCTGTGTCTCTGTGTATATCTGAGTGTGAGTGTGTGTGTGTCTGCCTGTGTGTGAGTCTGTGTGTGAGTCTGTGTGTGTGTGTGTGTGTGTGTGTCTGCCTGTCTGTGTGTGTGTTTGTGTGTGTGTGTGGTGTCTGTGTGTGTGTCTGCCTGTCTGTGTGTGTGTGTGTGTGTCTGTCTGTGTGTGTGTGTCTGCCTGTCTGTGTGTGTGTGTGTGTGTGTGAGTCTGTGTGTGTGTGTCTGTGTGTATGTGAGTGTCTGTGTGTCTGTGTCTGCCTGTCTGTGTGTGTGTGTGGTGTCTGTGTGTGTGTGTCTGTGTCTCTGTGTATATCTGAGTGTGAGTGTGTGTGTGTCTGTGTCTGTGTGTGTGAGTGTGTGTGTCTGTGTGTGTGTGTCTGTGTCTCCCTGTGTGTGTGTGTGTGTGTCTGTGTGTGTGTGTCTGTGTCTCCCTGTCTGTGTGTGTGTGAGTCTGTGTGTCTGTGTCTGCCTGTCTGTGTGTGTGTCTGTGTGTGTGTGTCTGTGTCTCTGTGTATATCTGAGTGTGAGTGTGTGTGTGTCTGTGTCTGTGTGTGTGTGTCTGTGTGTGTGTCTGCCTGTGTCTGTGTGTGTGAGTGTGTGTGTCTGTGTCTCCCTGTCTGTGTGTGTGTGTGTGTGTGTGTCTGTGTGTGTGTGTCTGTGTCTCCCTGTCTGTGTGTGTGTGAGTCTGTGTGTGTGTGTCTGTGTCTGCCTGTCTGTGTGTCTGTGTCTGCCTGTCTGTGTGTCTGTGTCTGCCTGTCTGTGTGTGGTGTCGGTGTCTGTGTGTGTGTCTGTGTGTGTGTCTGTGTGTGTGTGTCTGCCTGTGTGTGAGTCTGTGTGTGTGTGTGAGTCCCAACCCACGGCTATAACTTCCAACCTTTTCTCTCCTCGCCGGTCACAGACAGCTCCCCTTTGGCCACCGCTTCAGCCACTAAAAACAAAACCCTCTTTAGCAGCGCAGAGAAGGAACAGGTGCGGAGGAGAAGCGCGCCTGAGCCACTTCAGGAGGAAAGGGCTCTGCTCACTGGGGGCAGCGACGTGGCTCCCAGGCCCTCCGAAGCAGCCAGAGGAGCCCTCGGAAACAGCCCTCCGGCTCTAACACGCAGTCACGGCGCCGGGGATCCTGTTGGATGTGGATTTGGGGGCCGCGGGTCAGGCGCGCGGCGCGGCGTCCCTGCCAGCACCCGGGGGAGGGCTGCGCCGGGCCGCGGCCCACACTCGGGGCGGCGGAGCCCTACACAGGGCCCAGGTCGCCGGCCCGCCGAGGGCCCGCGGTCAGAACCCGCTGCGGCCCGAGCAGGAGACACGGCTCGGCGAGCGAAGGCCGCCCAGTACCATGGCGCCTTCACCGGCCGCCGGGCAGGCTGGGGAGCGCCGACGGGGCGCCAAGGACCGGGCTTTGCGCTGCTAGTTCGCGAGGGGTTCCTAGTCCACCGCGCGCGTCAGATTCCAACAAAGAACTGCGGGGCGTTGGAGACGAGGAGCCGCAGGCAAGCGCGTATCGCTGACACAGCAGCGGTGAGTGATGTCTGGGCAAACTTCGAGGGAGGCGCTGGGCTCCGCAGAGAGCACGGCGGAGAGGGGATCCACAGCAACGGGGCTGACGCGTCTGTGGTGGGCTGCGTTTCCGAAGAAGGCTGCAGCAATATCTCTAGCCCCGTAAAACCTTCTAGAAATTTCCACTCTGCTATCACGATGTGACATTTAATTCCCTTCCCCTTGAACGTGGGTGGATTTATGAATGACTTCCATGAATACAATACGGAGAAATGACACTTTGTGACTTGAGGTTAGATTAAAAAACAGCATTTAGTTTTTGTCTGGTTTTCTTTGGCTGCTTTCTTTTAGAACCAAGCCACGATGCTGTGAGGAAGCTAAGAAGGCCACGGAGACTCTCAGTGGGGTCGAACCGAGGGCCCACCTATGAGTCCTGTTGAGCTCAAGAGCCAACAACCAACATCCCACCTATGAGTCCTGTTGAGCTCAGAGCCAACAACCAACATCGACTTGCTAGCCACGTGAATGAAGCATCAGGAAAACAGGTGGTCCAGTCTTCAGTCAAACTGCATGGAGCAGAGATAAGCTAATCCCAAATTGGCCAATCCCCAAATCTGGCCAAATTTCAGATTCGTAAGCAAAAGAAATGATTTTTGTTGCTTACCAACTTTCAGAGTGGTTTATTTCACAGCAGTACGTTTCAGGAATAACATGCAAAGGTAAAGAAGTGAGAAGCAGCCTGGTGTTTAAAAACATGACACAAATAAAGGCATGTTTATATATACAACTCAGCTATTAGAAATGGAAACAGAAAAGTATGGGAAATGTTTGGCACATTGAGTTTGTGATGTGGAGGGGGAGAAGTTTCATCAACAAAGTGTTAATAGTGTTAGTGTAATACAGTTGTCTTTGCAGTCATCCACGCTTGGATTAATTATTCATGGCTCTGCCAGAAGATGTTCTGGATGTAAGTGTATTTATCCAACAAATTTTCTTGCTGGTAAAAGCAAATTCTTGTTGAAAAGAAAATAATAATGATCTGCTATTGTGTGAGCTCTGGAGATGAAGCCCAGTGTGACAATTTCAAAAGAAATCAATTTATAGTTTCTACTACTAAAGTGAAAACATGATATTAACATAATTTCAAAAATTTACAATCCTATCTGAAATCTTCTAAGGAGGCTACATCCCCACATTCTTGGGATAAAAGTACACAACTTGGACCTGTCATCAGTCCCATTGCTTTTCCTCCTTGCATTTCTAAGATAACCAACCAAGAGTTTCTGAAAGAGGTAAAGTGTATCACTGTTCTTTAATGCCAAGAATCTTATTTTCTATAACCCTATGGTGGGTGCATGCTAATTGGAGAGAAAAAGATTTAGAATGTACTGAATTGTTTCCTGGGCTGTGGGTGTCCCGAATTAAAAAAAAAGTTTTAAATTCTTTTGACCCTAATCTAGTGTTTAGTTGAAAAAGCAACATCCTCAAGTATCAGAAGAATTTATACTGAGTGTAGGAGTTTGGAAGTGTAGGAGTGTAGGAGTTTGGATTCCTGGGTTACAAATAGCAGATGACATGTACCTTCCTTCTGCTCTCAGCTAAGCAGCCCCTCCCGGGACACTGCGTTCAGTTCCTGACAATATGTTGCAATAGGAACATAGACAAGTCAGGGTGTGTTGGGAGGAGAGGGACTTAAATGGTGGCAGAACATAAACCTGTGTCACAAGATGAAGACCTGGAGAGAAGAGGAATGTTTCCCCGGGAGGAGACAACTCAGCGGGCCTGTCATGTGCTCAGGCGCACAGTCATGTTCTACGCTTTCCGACCCCGTGGACTGTAGCCCACCAGGCTCCTCTGTCCATGAGATTTCCCAGGCAAGAATGCTGGATGGGTTGCCATTTCCTTCTCCAGGGGAGCTTCCTGACCCAGGAACTGAACCCACGTCTCTTGCAGCTCCTGCGTTGGCAGGTAGAGTCTTTCCCACCGCATCACCTGGGGAGCCCATGGGCATGTTGTTGTTCAGTCCCTATGTCGTGTCCGGCTCTTCGCGACCACGTGAACTGCAGCACGCCAGGCTTCCCTGACCTTCACTGTCTCCTGGAGCTTGCTCAAACCCATGTCCACTGGGCTGGGGATGCCATGCAACCATCGCATCCTCTGTCGCCTGCTTCTCCTCCTGCCCTTTATCTTTCTCAGCATCAGGGTCTTTTCCAGTGAGTCGGCTCTTCACATCAGGTGGTCAAAGTAATGGAACTTCAGCTTCAGCATCAGTCCTTCCAATGAATATTCAGGGTTGATTTCCTTTAGGATGGACTGGTTTGATATCCTTGTTGTCTAAGGGACTCTCAAGAGTATTCTCTAGCACCACAGTTCAAAAGCATCAATTAGACCCTCAGTCTTCTTTATGGTCTAACTCTCATATTCATAATGATTACTGGAAAAACCATAGGTTTGACTATAGGGACCTTTGTCAGCAAGGTGATACCTCTGCTTTTTAATACTATCTACGTTTGTTATAGCTCTTCTTCCAAGGAGCATTTTTTAATTTTATGGCGGCATGTTAGCCACTTTTAAATAATGAAAGAGCTTTCTTGCAGGAGAGCTGGTAGCATAACTCTATAGTCCCTAAAGCACAAGAGAAAAGAATTGGGAAGCAATTTAGGGGTGAAGAGAGTGAAAACTGTCCAAAGATGAAGTTGGCTATGGGGGAGGTAGGAACTCCCATCTCTAGAGATATTCAAGTGAATTATTTTGAAAGAATTCTAAGTGAGGTAGGAATCGGATGGGACATCCTGCAAAATCCTCTCCACCACTGAGACTGAGCTGGACCCTGGGGGCTCCTGGGCACGGGAGCCTTGCTGTATCCTCTGTTCCTTGTTTGTAAGGAGTAGACTCCATGGCCTTCCCTGAGTTCCAAAGGGCAGGTTCCAACTAAAGCTAACCAGGGAAAGAAGGTGATGTGGAGACCAGGGAGGCACAGGCAAGAAACAATAGTGCAGCCTTGGGGCAGGGTCCTGGTTCCCCTCAAGTGGTACGCACAACAGCATCTTTGAGCTCTTTGGAAGAAAAGCTATGACCAACCTAGACTGCGTATTAAAAAGCAGACACGTTGCCAACAAAGATCCACATAGTCAAAGCTATGGTTTTTCCAGTAGTCATGTATAGATGTGAGTGTTGGACCATAAAGAAAGCTGAGCGCCAAAGAATTGATGCTTTGAACTGTGGTGTTGGAGAAGACTCTTCAGAGTCCTTTGGACTGCAAGATCAAACCGGTCAATCCTAAAGGAGATCAGTCCTGAGTGTTCCTTGGTAGGACTGATGTTGAAGCTGAAACTCCAATACTTGGGTCACTTGATGTGAATAACTGACTCATTGGAAAAGACCCTGATGCTGGGAGAGATTGAGGGCAGGAGGAGAAGGGGATGACAGAGGATGAGATGGTTGGATGGCATCAGCAACTCGATGGACATGAGTTCGAACAAGCTCCAGAGGTGGTGATGGACAGGGAGGCCTGGCATGCTGCAGTCCATGGGGTTGCAGAGTCAGACATGACTAATCAACTAAACTGAACTGAACTTGAGCTCTTTACAGAACTAAAACCCCCAACAAATGGAAGAGACCAACTGAGGCCAGATTAAAGGAACCAGAAAAGTGTAACAGGAGATCATGGAATGCAGGCCCTGCACACACCCTGATCCTTATCAGTAACCCCACCCTTGAGCCCTTAAACCATTGTTGTAAAACTCCTCACCAAATCTTCCCAGGTCAGGACACACAGTTTTTCAAGGCAGTAGCCCAATGTGTCCTCCTTTGCCCGGCAAAGCAATAGAGCCATTCTTTTCTACTTCACCCAAAACTTTGTCTCTGAGATTCGGGTCGGTATCGGTGCAGAGAGGCTGAGTTTTCAGCATCACTATTGCCACGAGCTTTGAGCTTCTTCAGAAGCCCCACCCCATCCTCTCAGGGCATTATCGGGTATATTCCCACATGTACTCATAACAGAACCCATTCTTTCTACTTCTGGATCCTGTCAGTGGTGACACTTCCTGATGCCTCAAAGCCTATGAAATCCTGGTGGTAATTGATGGTTTACTCCTGCCAGCTCCATGGAGGCCTCCCTGGGCCACAGCTGCCCACTGTGCCAAGCCATCATCCCTCTGGTCCCACATCCACTGTTCTGACAACTCCCTCAACATGGCAACACCTCCCTTTCTTGCGTTCCACTATGCAATGGTTGTCAAGCCAGGGTCCCATAGTGTTGAACAGAGTTTATGGGCAAATAGCTGTTCCTGTTCTCTTCCTCTTGGACTTCACTAATAGTTTCCAGGGACTGAGTTGGGATAATCAGAGAGCAGCAGATTTTTGTCTGGCCTTCCCCAGAGGGATGCTCTCATTGTCGTTGAGCAGCATTCTAAGTCTCCAAGCCCTCTTTCCTTATGGCCAAGTCCTCTGAGGTTGCTCCTTGGCCCCTCACAGTGGTGTCGTTCCTAAGGGCTTGCTTTACCAGCAGGCACACACTGGGCATTCTGAATCCTAGGGTGGGCAATGAGACGCAAGCTGGGGCCTTGTCGTCTTCCCTTTCCCCTATCTTCCTCTATCCTCTGTGATTCTCTGAGGCGTGAGAAGAGAGGAAGATAAAGATAACGGGAACACATGCTTCATGGTAGGGGAAAGGAGAACTATGTGGTGTGGATGGCGTAATTAGAATTCTTTTCTGTTTATTTATTTATATTTTATATTGGAGTGTAATTGATTTGCAATGTATTAGTTTCAGGTGTACAACAAAGTGAATCTGTTATATATATATATATGTATATACATATATATACAAATGTCCACTCTTATTTCAGATTCTTTTCCCAAATAGTTTATCACAGAGTATTGAGTAGAGTTCCCTGTGCTGTACCGTATGCCCTTGTTGGTTATCTATTTTAATATATAGTAGTGTGTATCTATTAATCACAACCTCCCAATTTATCCCTCTACCCTATCTTTTTAAGTGAATTAAAAAAAGTTCAGTGTGATGTTTATACTACTAAGTAGTGGGACTAAAAGAAGTCCTCATATAATTTAGCAATTTCAAAGTGATTGATCAGCCTGCATAGAATTTCACTGCAGAAAATCTAGTCTATGTATCAGGGGGAAAAAATACTCAGAAACTTGCTGATAGCACTTGCAAAACAATTTTTATTACTCATCCAATACTAATTATAAATTTTGAGAGATCAACTAAGAAAAATTTGTATATGCTCTTTATAAAGATATTTATGTACACATCTGTCTCAACTGATACTCTCTAACTTGTGGGTTAAGATGCAGAGTGCAGTGAGTTTTCTTGGAAAAGCTATGGATGGTGGAGAAAGAGCATGTCTGCCATTCACTTTGAACAGGCAGAGGAAGAACTCTATTTAGCTCTTCCAACTGAACCTTCCTTACCTGTGAATAACGCAGTTTTGGTACTTGTCAGAAGGAAAAACAAGCCAATTCTTTGAATTCTTGCGTATTTCTTCAGAGCATCCTTCAGTAGGTCCTTCTTTCTTATCTTTAAAAAAAAGGGATGCATGGACAAATCTATGTTTTTAACACTGGACTCATGCTGAAGTGTCCTGACATTCATTAACTCTAGAGTCAAAGTGCTGATTGCAAATCCCAGCTCTGCTGTGTGATTGGCCGAGTGACTTCACTCCCTACCCTTCAGCGTTCTCATCTGCACAGGGGGGTGAGTGAATGACACCACCCTCACGGGCTGTTTGTGAGCTAGTATATGTATAAAGTGCTGGAATTTTGCCTGGTACCAGTTAAGAACATGCTACCTGTTAACATTATTAATGAAGAAATTAGAGTAATGCCTATTACACCAGCAACCAAAAGAGGTCAGTTTCATTCTCTCAACCAGTATTATTGAATATATATAGCAATGACCCCCAGCCAATGAAATCCTTCTTCCCAAAGTGCTTATATGAGGAGGGGAGAGGGACAGAGGAGCAGAGGAGGAGGGGAGGACTAAAAGAAATAAGTAAAAAATATATTATTTCATATATTATTTCAGATTTATTATGATGATCTAAAGAATAAAGCAGCCATATTTAAAATGGACAACCAAGAACCTACTGTGAGGCACAGGGAACTCTGCTCACTGTTGTGTGGCAGCCTGGATAGGGTGAAGTTTGGGGGAGAAAGGATACATCTATATATGTGGTTGAGTCCCTTTGCTGTTGACCTCAAAGTGTTAGAACATTGGTGGTTAATTGGCTATGCTCCAATACAAAATTTAAAAAAATTTTTAAAAAGAAAAATAAAGCAGAGAAGGAAGATGATAGATGTTGGAGGAGGAAAGAACATGACAGAGCAAACTGTAAGTCAGATGTCTTGAGGTCGGGTAATGTTTGGTGTGGTCCATATGAGCAAGGAGGCCAGAGTGGCCAGAAGGAGAAAAGAGAGGAGGAAGCCACACTTCATGAAGTTGGAGGGGTTCTGGCTGGGGTGGCAGGGAGATCCTGGGGTGGCTTGTAGACATTGTCGCCATCCTTTGGCTGGTTTAGGATAAGAAGCCACTGGAGGTTTTGAGAAGAGGAGAGAAATAACCTAACCTATACGGTAAAGGATCACTCGGACTGTTGGGTGGGGCAGTGGGTGAGCGAGTGGAAAGATCAAGTCAGAGGCCGTTACTGAGAGATGCTGGTGGCTTGGACCAGGGAATCAGCTGTGAGGAGGGAGATGGCAAGAAGTGAATACTTCCAGGTATATTTTTGAAGGCAGATCTCAACAGAATCTGCCAAGGAATTGAATGTTGTGTATAAAGGATAGAAAGGCTCTGAGAGGACAGGGATATTTTTCTCTTTTATTCAACGTCATTCCCGATCACCTAGATAGTGCCTGGTACTCAATAAATATTCCTTGAATCAATGAAAAGGGTAACTCTGATTTGTATTACGATGCCCTACTTAAACTCAGTGAATAGTATAAAGCAGCTAAAATGTTTCTCCACAGACATTTCTCCAAAGAAGACATGAAGATGGCTAAGAGGCACATGAAAAGATGCTCTACATCAATAATTATTAGCGAAATGTGGATCAAAACTATAATGAGGTATCACCTCCCAGCGGTCCCCTGGAGAAGGGAATGGCTACCCACTCCAGTGTTCTTGCCTGGAGAATTCCAAGGACAGAGGAGTCTGGCGGGCTATAGCCCATGGGGTTGCAAAGAACTGGACACGACTGAGTGACTGACACACACACACACACACTTATACACGAACGTGTGTAAACACGCAGCTGGTGGGAAGCTGCTGCTTAGCACAGGAGCTCAGCTTGGTGCTCTCTGATGACCAAGAGGGATGGGACAGGGGTGGGGCATGGGAGGGATACTCAAGTGGGAGGTGTGTATACATACAGCTGATTCACTTCCTCCTACCGCAGAAACCAATAGGACATTGTAAAGCAACTATACCCCAATTAAAAAAACAAACTACAGATAAATGAAGCCCTGTAGTAACTACAGTTTCAGCATTTAAGCAATGAAGCCTCTTCCTTGCTTCAAGTTGGAAGTTGTCACTGCTGCATGCCTGGCCCTCAGCTGCCAATGACCGGGACTGAATAAGGCTTGGGTAACTTTCTGTAATAGAAGAGTACTTTATTACAAAATATTCATTGTGAACAAACAGAAACCAACAGGAAATACACCTTAGAGTATAGGAAAGAGTAGCTTATTTGGAGAAAACATAGAGACCTAGGAAATGGGGATTCTGTCGTGTATCCTCACTAGACAACTGCAAAACATACTGAAACACAGTCAATAAAATGAGAACATTAATACACAAGGATTTCATGAGGTAAAATAAGTTATGTACCGCATTTCAGACCATCTATGAAATGCCTTATCTAGGTCATATTCTAAATATTAAAAAATACAATGCATTTTATGTCATCTTTTCCTATTAGTATACTGCAGCATGTGAGAGAGATAGATGGCTACATAATTGATGATAAGCCCAGGATATGGTGATTTCTAATCCCCCAATATACATTTTAGAGTTTAAGGGTAATCAGGTTTGTTGATGTCCTTGAGTGATACATAGAGTTGGTGTACAAGAGCACACCCACGTTTTGCTCCGTGGTGATTCATGGAGACTAGAAGCAATCTTCAGGGATATTACAAAGTACCTGTCAATTCTTAAAGATGACATTTGATAAAAGGGTGTTCCGTTCTAGGCCTACGTACGGGGAACCTCGACTTTCTCCTGTCCTTCGAGTCACCCCGCGGGGCTGTCTTCAGGTCCGCTGGGCAGGACACTGTTCACAGACAGCGTCAGGGTCTCTATTCAGGGGATGTTTAGGGGCAGCCAATAGTCAGCCGGGAAGAAGGCCTGCGGCGAAGGTGGAGGTGGGGGAATTGTGTGGAAGCAGAGTTTGCACAGCAGACAGAGGTTTGTGCTTTTCTAACGGTTATTCCCCTGGGTCAGGAAGATCCCCTGGAGAAGGAAGTGGCAGCCCACTACAGTACTCTCGCCTGGAAAATCCCATGGACTGAGGAGCCTGGTAGGCTACAGTCCATGGGGTCGCAGAGTCGGACACGACTGAACAACTTCATTCAATGGTTACTGGGGGGACCTAATGACTTCCGTGTGGCTCAGACGGTAAAGAATCTGCCTGCAGTGCAGGGACCCTGAGTTCGATCCCCGGGTGGGGACGATCCCCTGGAGGAGGAAATGGCAACGCAGTCCAGTATTGTTGCCTGGAGAATCCCATGGACAGAGGGGCCTGGGGGGCTACAGCCTGTGGGGTCGCAGAGTCGGACACGACTAACACAAACACACACGCACACACACCGCGTGTCGTGGGGTCACCCACAGCCCCGCTCCTGTTCCCACAGCCTCCGCCTGCCCCCCACCGCACGGCCCCCCCAGCCCCGGCCCCAGGGGCGGAGGGCCCTCCGCGCCGCAGAGCCGGCCGAGGAGCCCGCCTCAGCCCGGGCCGCTTCGCCGGCCGGCGGGAAGTTTTCCACCCCCGGGCGCGCGTGGGCGTTGCGCGTCCGGGGTGAGCGCCCCCGGGTCCGCGCTGCAGCCGCCGGGAGGGAGCTCCGAGCCGGGGCGTCGCCAGGGCGGCAGAGGCAGGCGGTGAAGCGCCGCTCCTGCCTCGCCTCAGGGCGAGCCGCACCCGGCAGCGCGTCCCTTTAACGCGCGCTCCCGTCAAGGTGCCCGCGGCCCTCCCGACCGGCCCGGCAGTCTCCCTCCCGCGTCTCGCGGGCCCCGGCGCTCCGTCCCGGGGGGCGCCCCTCGCCCGCCCCCGCCGCCGTCCGCTCGCGGGGCTCGGCTGTCACTTCACTTTCCCTCGGCGCCCCGCGGGCGCGCGCGGCGGGGAGGGGGCGGGGCGGCGCGGGGCTCGCGCTCTCGCGGTCTCTGCCGGGCGCGCGCGGGCACGCTCCTCCGCGGGCGCGCGCGGCGGGGGCGGGGCGGCGCGGGGCTCGCGCTCCCCCCGGGCGCGCGCGCGGGCACGCTCCCCCGCGGGCGCGCGCGCGGACGGCCGGGCGGCGGCGGCGGCGGCTCACGGAGGCGGGGGCTCCACTTTCCAGGACTCAGGGGCGGCGACAGCGCCAGCCGCGGGCAGCAGGCTCGGCAGCCGGAGCTGGAACGGCCGGGCGCGGCGGCGGCGCCGGGGGTGAGTCCGGCGGGCACAGGCGTGGCCGGGCGGTCCGCTGTGCGGGGCGGGGGTGCAGGTTCGGAGACCGGACGGCCCGCGGGGACGCCGACCCCCGGGGCCTCGTCAGCGCCCCTGCCCCCCGCTTCCCCTCAGCGTTGTGTCCCCGGGCTGGGGCTCGATCCCGCGACCGCGCGGACGGCCTCGCTCAGGTGCCCGAAGCCCCGCGCCCCTCCCCCTCCCTCCCCTCCCCCCGGCGCCCCCTCCCCCTTCGGACCTCGCGTCCCAGTCTTTCGCCGCCCGCCGCCCCTTCCCTGTCCAGCGCTCCCGGAACCAAGTCTCCGGGAAAGTGCAGGACGAGTGTCACGGGGAAGTGCCGGCCCGGCCGCACGCGGGGTCCCTGCGGATCTGCCCCCCATCATCGCCGCCCGCGGGGTCCCTGCGGGTCCCTCCTCCACCCGGGACCGGGGGCCGTGCGGCGTCCGCCCTGCGGCGGGCCGTGTGTTGTCCCCGCTTTGTGAAGCCCGCAGTCCGCGGTCCGAGCCCGTTTTTCTGGTCTCGGTCCTCCGCAGCCCCGCTGGCTCGGTTCGAAGCCGGGTTTCACCCCCAGCGCCCCCCTTCCTTCTCCCCCCGCCCTATCTCCTCGCTCTCTGGGTTTTCATCTTGCCCTTTACTATTTCTAATGAAGATAAAGCGGAGCTTCTTGTGTCTTCGCCCCCCGCCCCCCACGACCGACCAGAAATGTCCAATCCATCTTCTCTTAAGGAAATTAAGGCCGCTTTGCAAGGACCCCGTCCTGGCTCGGTGGCTGTTAGACCCATTTGCATGTTTTCCAGATTAACCGTTTTGCATTGTGTATTCTTGAGCGTCTACGCAAATATTTTTTTATTTAAAAGTGCAAAAGGAAATGGTAGGGTTTACTTTAAGAGTATCTTGCCATCTCGCCTTTCAGAAAGATTTTAAATTCTTCTTAGTTTTTGTTTTTTTTTTAATCTCCGATTCTTAAAAAAGTATGTTTCTGAATAGGTGAGAATTCGTTCTGGACCTTGGGAATCTAAAAATTTGTGTTGACTCAGTTTGGATGCCCCTTGGCTCTTGAGAGTTTTGTGTGTGGGCTGATGCCAGTGATGGAGGGTTTTCATATAATGTCATACCCCATTATAGAAAGGTGCTCACCGCCACACCATAGCACCTTTTCCTCAAATCTTGGGTGTTCCACTATTATTTCCTGCATAAATATCCTTGCAGGTGAGCTAAAGGTAACATAAATAATTTAATTTTACATTTTAGAAAAGTTTAGAAATGCGACTGGGAAGGCAAGTGGCAAGAAACAGGGCAGAATTAAGCGTTTTCCTGTTGTGAAAGCTCAAAGGAACACTTGCTTCTGCAGTCTTAATACTGTGAGTTTTATACAGTTTTATACCGTCTTACCTGGACGGTAATCCGGATTCACGGAGTGATTATAGTTGTTTGTATGTTATCAATAATATTTATCACCAAATCATCTCATTTCTATGGAACATGTGAGTTTATTTTCATATGTTGCAAATTTCCAGGACTGTAATTTACCATATAGAATACATAGCTAATACCCTTTTAGATAATTTTTGAGTTGAAGAAAGAACAATATTCAGACTTTTAATCTAACACTTCTTCGAGGAAAGTTCGATTTTACTATTTTATGTTTAGAAACTGAGTATTTGAATGCAAAGTAAAAATCTTAATATCTTTGAAACTATCATGGAAGAGTAGCTCTGTGTTTATAACCCTGGGATTCCAGTTTATCTTCACTCTAGATTAGATAATTGGATCCAATTAGCTGTTGAAGAATCCATCTTAAATGTAAGTGCCGATTTAGAAGATAACATTCACTTCATGTATTTCTTTCTTGTCTGTGCGCGGCTTGTGGGATCTTAGTTCTCTAACCAGGGATTGAACCCATGCCCTCTGTACTGGGGACACAGGAGTCCCTTGAAGATAACGCTGGGAGAGTTTTAATTCCGGAAATTCAGAAGAAAGTGGTTGATTTTTGGCTGTCCCGAGTCTTGGTTTCTGCAGGGGCGTCTCTCTGGCTGCCTCGAGCCCCGGCTGCTCCGCGCTGGTCTTTTTGTCATGGCTCCTCGTGCGCAGGAGCCCCGGCTCTGGGGCGCGCAGGCTCGGGAGTTGGGGTGCACGGGCCTAGTTGCTCTGCAGGATGTGGGATCTTCTGGACCAGGGATTGAACCCTGCATGGGCAGGCGGATTCTTTACTATTGAGCCACCAGGGAAGCCCAGAAAGTTTTTTTTTTTTTACTTATTTGTACTTTAAGAGAGACAAAATACCAGTCTTGCAGCTAATTAAAATGTGTATAGACTATTTTTTCTTTGTAAAAATTAGTTGCCACCTAAGTAGTGCAGTAATTTTTCCCCACACTGTTTCTGTAATTAGACACTCAAAAACTATTAATAAAACCCACAGAACTTCCCCTTACTCTTAGTATTTGAACAGGATATGAAAACTTTGTTTCTGAAAGCTTCTTTTATAGTGGTTATTTGTGGCCTTAGGTGAACTTATCATCCATAGGTTGATTTGGATGAAATAAGGCTTCTTAGGTCAAAAGTGGAAATCTTTTTTCCTTACTGTGAAACTGTAGAAATTATACATCTATTTGGGTATATTAATAGTTCCCTAGTGAGACTAATTTTAGTCTTCTGATACTGTGGGGCAGTTTATGAAATTTGGATTTCAGACTGTGGCTTAGATTATATCATTGAGTAGTCTTTTAAGTAATTATATATGCTTATGGCATTATTAGATATTATGTAATTACACATAAATAAGAATATTAAGATGAATATGTAGCTTTATAACTAATGTTAATATGCAACTGAAATTCTAGGCATAGTTTATCAAACTAAAGCTGGAGCTTCAGTAAAAAAGAATTTTATTCCATTTAGGTTTTCATGTGTTTGTCAACTAATGGATTGCTTCTAGTTTAAGACATATAAAAGGATTTCTCACTCGTTTCACATATCTCAAAATATTGCCAGCAGCGTTTTACTGCATGTGAGGGCCTTTCCCTAAGAATTACTCTCTTTCTTACTCCCATGCACAGCTGTTCTCACAGGCTCTTATGTACATACTTGCAAGGGTTTAAATTCATATTATATATATATATATATATATATATGTATTTTTTTTTTACTGAAAAAAGTAAGCTGAAAAAAAAATTCAGCATTAAATCCAAGGATGAGAATTTTATGTGAAATAAAAATGAAAAAAAAAAAAGAAAGCAAGAAATATGTTAGGACTGTTTGAGCTGGATGTGGAACATACTGATATAAAATCGCAGGATTCTATTAAGTGACTCGAGTGCTCCTAGAAGATGTTCCAGCTGAGGAGACTGTTGTGCTCCATTTACAGGGGGGGAAAGCCATCGGGTTTCCCCGCTTCAGAGCTGCCTGGGCAGACCTCTTTTTCTTTGGCATGGAGGAAGGGAGCTGCTGAGGGTGATGGGGCTGTGTCTGGTGATGCCTTAGTGAAGGCACTCAGGATTTCTGCTGGCTCCTCACCCGCTCTGCTTCCCGCGTCCTCAATTCTCCTTCGGGTATGTCTTAACCTTTCTCATTTCAACCACTTCAAGTTCTGTCTTATGAAATCACTTTGATTTCGAGCAAGCTACAAGTGAAATAGAGCGAGCTATAAGTTAAATCTTCAGTGAGGAAGAATTTTAATTATTGTCAGCTAGCTCTACATTTGGACCAGTTGTAGTAATCAAACAGTGCTTTATTTGAGTTATCTTTCTTTTACATGTTAAGTCTTAATTTTGATCTATCAAATACAGTTTTAAGTCTTAATTTGACTAAGAGTTACATAGTATCTTTTTCAAAAGGAATTTGTTCCCATTTATTTGTGGTTCTTAAAGGGGTACTTTGTGGTGTTGATGTCACTCCTTAAAGGTAGTTCTGTGTTTTGAAGAGAGGCACCCCAGAAGGTAGGTGTACCAGCTCCGGTAGTTATGAGGTGGCAGTAACATGGTGAGAGTCTGGGCATGGGTTTTGTCAGTTTGGTTTTGGATTTGTCGGTAAACTCTAAGCTAGTTGGGTCACAGGGGATGTACTCATGGTAATCAGACTCAGAAATCGATTATGATAGAATGATTGTTGGCAAGAGAGAACTGGAATTTTTTGTGCATTATCTAGATTGTAACAGCTTACCCATGTACCAAGATATTGAGAAGATTGAGCTGGTAATCAGAGTTGCTTGTGGAGCAAAGGGACTTTGAAAGCCTCGAGGTATGTTTCATCCAGACCGTGGGGGGAAAGACAGGCCCCTAATGTCTCCATGGAGCCTTCATCTCCTGTGGAACCTGGTTGCTTAGTATATTGTTGGATCAAGGCTGGCACCATCCTGCGGTTCAGCTTCTATTTAGAATCACGGAGGCCTCTGTGTTCTTCTGTTATCACAAAAGTTACTTAAAACAGTTGACTGACTTAGAGGATTTTAACCATAGCCCAGCCGGAGGATGTATTCATGAGGTATTGGTGCCAGCGTTTGCTCCATCCCTCTGTTCTTTGGCCATTTTTACTGACCTCTGTTACAGCCCCTAGCAAGTAGTCTTACCCACTGATCAGCTTGCTTATCCTAGGACTCAAGAGCCTGGCACAGTGCCTGGTGAGTAGCACAGTTTTTTTCTTTTTCGATGACGCTTTATTGACACATAATTCATGTATTGCACAATTCACTCTTTTAAAATGTATAGCTCAGTGGTTTTTAGAATATTTAGAGCTGCATATCACCATTATCTACTTTAAGAACATTTTTATCACCCCACAAGGAAACTTTGCACCTCTTAGCTTTGTACCGTTCCCATCCTTCCCTCACTCTCAGCCCCCGGCAGTCACTCACTGACTTTTCTGTCTCTGCGCTCTCACCGGTTCTGGATGGTTCGTGCCGTTTGCGGCCCTCTGTGCCTGGCGTCTCTCACTGGACGTCGTGTTCTCAGAGTTCAGCGTGGTGCAGCTTGCGCACGCTGCGCCCGTCCCTTTCCGTGGCTGGGCGGCTCTGTGCCTGGCGTCTCTCACTGGACGTCGTGTTCTCAGAGTTCAGCGTGGTGCAGCTTGCGCACACTGCGCCCGTCCCTTTACGTGGCTGGGCGGCTCTCCGTTGCTTGGAGATCCCACATTTGGTTTATCTGTTTGTTGTCAGCTGGTGGGTACATGAGTTGTTTCCTCTTTTTGGTTCTGTGAATAATGTTGCTATGAACATATTGTGTATATATATTTGTCTCCATTTCTTTTCTCAATACATCTTGAATGGATGAAGGAAAAGTTTTGGCAACTCCCAAAGCTGTTAGGTAAAGTGAGCAAGTCATTCATTGTGTAGTGAGTTTTCTTTGGTTCCTGTTAAGATTCACTTTCTCTGTTCTCGAGCGACCTTTCTGCAGTCCTTCCCCAACTGAATAAATGATTTTTTTGACTCTTTAATCCAGGATCTAAAATGTCCACTGAGGCACAAAGAGTTGACGACAGTCCGGGCACTAGTGGAGGAAGCTCCGATGGAGACCAGCGTGAGAGTGTCCAGCGGGAACCAGAGAGAGAGCAGGTTCAGCCCAAGAAGAAGGAGGGGAAGATATCCAGCAAAACAGCTGCTAAACTGTCTACTAGTGCTAAAAGGTACCTCAGTTACGGTAACTTCTTTGCTTTTAGTATCAATGTATCACCTTAAGTTCTGTCTTTCTCTTGCATTTAATCATTTTTCTGGGATATGGACCGTGAAGTTCATGGACTTTTTCTTCTTGAAGGTTATTTCTTTTTCATGATCTTAATTGTATGCAATATGAACTTTTTGGTATTTAAAGTCAGTTAAACAGCATGGCAAAATTATAAGCTATGTATCCATAGTGTGTGTGTATGTATTGTTAGGTGAATATGAATAGGAAAGTGCATGTAAAAGTGTGATAATTTGTTTTATGGTTCCTTGACCATTACTATTTTATTTTATTGAGCAGCAGAGAATAAAAGTGGGAGTCTATTGAAAGTTACTGGATGATTATTTCCACTCACTGTTAGTAAAGTGAGAAATGTGGGAGTTAATAACAATAAAATGGGAAAGACTAGAGATCTCTTCAAGAAAATTGGTATCTCTTCAAGATACTAAGCGTACATTTCATGCAAAGATGGGCACAATAAAGGACAGAAACAGTACAGACCTAACAGAAGCAGAAGATATTAAGAAGAGGTGGAAAGAATACATAGAAGAGCTAAACGAAAAAGATCTTCAGGACCCAGATAACCACGATGGTGTGATCACTCACCTAGAGCCAGACATCCTGGAGTCCAAAGTCAAGTGGGCCTTAGGAAGCTTTACTACGACAACGCTAGTGGAGGTGATGAAATTCCATCTGAGCTATTTCAAATCCTAAAAGGTGATGCTGTAAAAGTGCTGCACTCAATATGCCAGCAAATTTGGAAACCTCAGCAGTGGCCACAGGACTGGAAAACATCAGTTTTCATTCCAATCCCAAAGAAAGACAATGCCAAGGAATGCTCAAACTGCTGCACAGTAGCACTCATCTCACATTCTAGCAAAGTAATGCTCAAAATTCTCCAAGCCAGGCTTCAACAATATGTGAACCCTGAACTTCCAGATGCTCAAGCTGGATTTAGAAAAGGCAGAGGAACCAGAGATCAAATTGCCAGCATCTGTTGGATTATAGAAAAAGCAAGAGAATTCCAGAAAAACACCTACTTCTGCTTCATTGACTATGCTAAAGCCTTTGACTGTAGATCACAACAAACTGTGGAAAGTTCTTAAACAGTTGGGAATATAGACCTCCTTACCTGCTTCCTGAGAAATCTGTATGCAGGTTAAGAAGCAACAGTTAGAACTGGACATGGAACAACAACTGATTCCAAATAGGGAAAGGAGTACGTCAAGGCTGTATATTGTCACCCTGCTCATTTAACTTTTGTGCAGAGTACATCATGCAAAATGCTGGGCTGGATGAAGCACAAGCTGGAATCAAGATTGCCAGGAGAAATATCAATAACCTCACATCTGCAGATGACACCACCCTTACAGCAGAAAGCAAAGAATAACTAAAGAGCCTCTTGATGAGGGTGAAAGAGGAGAGTGAAAAAGTTGGCTTAAAACTTAACATTAAAAAAACTAAGATCATGGCTTCTGGTCCCATCACTTCATGGCAAACAGATGGGGAAACAATGGAAACCGTGGCTGACTTTATTTTTTGGGGCTCCAAAATCACTAGAGATGGTGATTGCAGCCATGAAATTAAAAGATGCCTGCTCCTTGGAAGAAAAGCTATGACCCACCTAGATGGCATATTAAAAAGCAGAGACATTACTTTCCCAGCAAAGGTCCGAGTCAAAGATATGGTTTTCCAGTGGTCATGTATGGATGTGAGAGTTGGACCATAAAGAAAACTGAGCACTGAAGAATTGATGCTTTTGAACTGTGGTGTTGGAGAAGACTCTTGAGAGTCTCTTGGACTGCAAGGAGATCCAACCAGTCAACCCTAAAGTAAGTCAGTCCTGAGTACTCATTGGAAGGACTGATGCCGAAGCTCCAATACCTTGGCCCCCTGATGGGAAGAACTGACTCATTGGAAAAGACCCTGATGCTGGGAAAGATTGAAGGTGGGAGGAGAAGGGGACGGCAGAGGATGAGACGGTTGGATGGCATCACCGACTCAATGGACATGAGTGTGAGCGAGCTCCGGGAGTTGGTGATGGACGGGGAGGCCTGGCGCGCTGCAGTCCCTGGGGCCGCAGGCAGTCAGACACGACTGAGCGACTGAGCTGAACTGAAGAACAGACGCATGTCGTTTTCACTGCACCGGGCAGTGGTTTGGTCTTGATGAGAGATTTTCTTCTCCCCCAGGGAACAGGTGGGTCTGGAAGCAGGATATTTTGAGTGATTCTCTGCTGCCGCATCAGTTGCTTAGGGTGATTGGCATGTCATTGGACTCAGCAGAGGGAATATACACTTTAATATTGTTACATTATGGAATGTCTCTTGGTGGATAATTTAAAGGTGAATTGAATCTAGTAGAGTCTTTCCTGGTCCTGTGATGTACTGTCTGAGAATTTGGGGCCTTGTGGACTGACCGTTGAATGACAGCTTCATCCTTTACTGGTGGTGTGGATGAGGGAACCCATCCCAGAGGTCGTACCCGTGGGGGCTGGAGGACCTTGCTTCTCTCTGGTCGAGTCAGTCCACAGGTTGGGAAGACCTTTGTCAGGCCCCCTGCAGGCCGTGCCTTTCTGGGGAGAGTTGTTAGAGTGCGCCGTCCATTCTAAGGGCCCCGGGTAGCCAGCCTCCCTTTCCTGGAAGCGTGTTGCAGATGCCCGCCCTCTGCTGAAGGAGCCGTGAGAAAGTCAGACGGCCTGGGACTTGAGGCCTTCTAACCTCTGTACTGGACGGCGGGAAGGGCTCCGTGCACTCCTTCGGGTGCAGTGCAGGTCCCGGGGCCTCAGCTCAGGGCCCGGCCTGCTGCCCGGTCACAGCGCAGAAAGACCGGCTGCAGGGAATGCGGTGGACTAGGGTAGAACAGAGCGGGGATGGAGAACTAGGACGTTAGGAGGAAGGAAGGGCGGTGGGTGTGCGTGCGCAAGAGATGCTCAGGTACAGGCTGCGGCCCGCTTAACTGAGGGCGGCCCTGTGGCTCAGTCAGTGGAGAATCCGCCTGCAACGCGCGGACCCGGGTCGGGAAGATCCCCTGGAGGACGGCGTGGCAGCCCCTCCAGGTGCTTGCCTGGAGAAGTCCATGGACAGAGGAGCCCATGGGGTCGCCAAGAGTGGGACATGGCTGAGCGACTGAGCACACACAGCCCCTGAGAGTGAGCGTGCTGCCGGGGCGCGGGGAGGACGGCCCTCTGGGAGCGCTCCCCACCGGCGGGCGCCCCCGCGGAGCGCGGCCGGCCTGGGAGCACAGCCCGCAGTCTGCCCTGTCAGGGGGGTGGGAACTGGGGCCTGTGTGAAAGCGGGGATCGGATGAGGCTTGCTCGCTAACAGTCATTCTGTGCTTCATTTTCCTACAGTGTGTACAAAGTGGAGGTTACGCATTCAAACCTAGTTTTCCTTTTTCCCGCTCTTTAAGTTGGGGATAAAATTTATTTCTGAGTGTGTGTGAAGAATCCAGGACAGTGTCTGATGGGCACATAATAGGAATTAGTAGTACGGCATTGGTGAAAGTAAGAAATGTCTTTTGAGTTGCTTCCTGGCTGAAAAAAAGTCACTCCGTTGGCAAATTTATTTTTGTGAATCTGTGATTTTCAAATTGTGACTGATGACTTTACACAGTTTCTGGGTGGCTTATGGTTGAGTATCTGAAGGGGTTTAGGCATTCACTATTTTTTTGAATATAAAATGCTGCTTCACGGCAAATTTTCAGGTGAGAAACAAAGCCAGCACTAAAGAGCTGAGTGCTGCTCCTTCCCCCCCCCCCCCAGCCTGCTTGACGGTGGGAGCCGGCTTTGCCCCCCCATCTCTGCTTAAGCCCCTTTTCTTTGTTAAGTAGGTGTCTATTTTGGCTGCACCAGGCCTTAGTTGTGCATGCAGGATCTTTGTAGTTACAGCAGGTGGGGTCTGGTTCCCTGACCAGGGGTGGAACCCAGGCTCCCTGCATTGGGAGTGTGGAGTCTCAGCCACCGGACCACCAGGGAAGTCCCTCTGCCTGAGTTCTAACAACTGAGGAAAAATACTGGGAATCTAGATGACAGGGACTCAAAACATAGTTTTAATTCACCATGTGCCTTGCATAGTAGGGTCGTATTTATTTACTGATTGCCTTAGAACCTAGAGTTTGTTGTGAGGCTTGGATCTTCCACAGAGATTAGAATCCTAGTACTAATTTGTTCAGAAGATCAAAGGTGGTGGTAGTTTCACAATAAAATTCTCATTTATTATTATTGATAATTGATTTTTATGCAGATGAGACATCTTTTCCAAATAGTGTCATTTTGTGGGAGAGTTAATCAGCAGTGCAGAGCTTGCACTCGAGAGACAGAATCTGGGTTAGACCTAATGCTAGGTCCTGGCATTTAGTTGCGCTGTGATATTAGAAACATAGTCTAACATTTCCAAGCCTCACCTTTCTCATCTGTGAAATGGAGACAGAAATAGCCCCGTCTTCGCAGGGCCAGCATGAGGATAGAAAGTGATGAAGCTGTTACTTGGCACAGAGAAAGGCTTCATACACTGATGCTGTCGTCCTTAGACTCTGTGCCGGTTAAAGCCTACAATAGTGTTTTACTAAGTCCATGTGATAAAGTTTAGAAAAATGAAGTTTGTGTTAATGCTATGAGGACTTAGTGCTTTTTCTTAAAATAGTAAAGCTCAGATGCTGTAATTATATATACATTTTATAGTAACTCAAGAAAAGTACTTTGCACATAGGTGTTCAGTTGCATAAAATGTGCTGTAATTGTAGAATTAATCATTAGGTGTAGAAATGTGTTTTCTTGCAAAAAAAATCTCAGTTTTCATGTGTTATAGAAAAGTAATATTGGATACAGAAAATATTAAATTGGGATTTTATTGAAACAATGGTATAAATTAATTTTTGTCTGTTTCAGAGTTAAGAGGGAGATTACAGTTACTTCTTGATGCATTTTTGCTCTTCTTTGGCATGAAATTATTTCTTAAAAAATCG